AGTGTGTGTGTGGTGTTGTGTCGTGTGGGGCTGTTGGTGTTGTGTGTGTGTGTGTGTGTGTTGTGTTTGTTGTGTGTGTGTGTGGTGTGTGTGTGTTGTGTGTGTGTGTGTTTTGTGGTTGTGTTGTGTGTGTGTGTTATGTGGTTTATCTATGATATGATATGATGTACATAGTATATATATATAATACTAATGTATGTAGGGCTAGTGTAGGGGAGCCAAAGGCCATGCCCCCCCGCGTTGTTGATCCGAAAGTGAAAAAATAAAAAATAAGAAAATGTTCACTAAAATGAGAATTGTCATATCCAGAATAAGGCGGTAAATACCAAAAGCAGGGCGGATTCAGAACCGATTTGCCTATGGGCAAATATCGTCTACATTTCAAAGTGCCCTTTGAAATTTTGTGCTAAAAACTACAGAAAAACACATTGATGGAATTTTCTATATTCTATATTGTCTTTTCTTCTAATCATTGACACGGACTAAAGGAAATCAATAACTTTTACATGGTAACAAAACTCGCTTGGGGATATCCTGAAAAAGAAGAAGTGCTTGAATCACTCTGCATTAAGTGCGGTATCACAAGCGCAGCAAAAAATAAGCAAAATAAAATTCCCATATGGTTTTTTAGCTATGCTGTTTGAACTAAATTGTCTCAAATGTGCTCATTTTGTGCCCAGGATCTCCTTGAAATTTTGAAAATTTTGGGGGAAGCCCCTCCAACCCCCCGCCAGTGGCTTGCCCGCCGCTAACGTCGCCCAAATGCATCTGTGAGGGCTGTGCCCTTTGGGGAATGTCCCTTTACATTCTGGAAAAATACCTGTCTTAGGCTTCAGCCCTGGATTCTCGCCCCTAAAATTGCCTTCAAATACCATCCCTGCTATCTACCATTTTCAAAAATTCGGGGAGGACCTCCTGGCGGAGGGCCTGTTTTTCACCCCCCCCCTCGGAAATGCCTAGATCCTCCACAGAACAGTTAGCTTATCATCGGGACAGAGAACAACGAACAAAAATTCACCTTCCACCCCTGCATGGCGCCCAAAACAGAGCCCCTACAGAGCTCAGAGGTGGACAGCGTACGGGCTTGGAGATCACGAGGAGAGGCGAGGAACATTTAAAAATAAGTCATGCCGATATTTGCGCAGTCGCTGTTTTGCCCCCCCCCGCCCTGTTAAAAATCACGGCTACGCCACTGTATATATATAATATATATCTTTAAAATGAAGTAAAGAGGATATGCTAAATCAGAAACGTGTTGGATAGCACAGCATTAACAGTAAATGAAATAGGAAACAAAATGTCATATTAAAAGCTCTAGCCTATGATATGTTTTATACGTTTTCCTATTGTATACATTTGGTTTAATATTTGAATATAGATAAAAGACGTTATGTTCCTGACGATTGTCACTTGAGTCCATTTGATTTTCACTTTTGCCAGTGATGTAATTTTGGTCTGCCTATAATTTCCTTCTTTTGTTACTTTTGCAATTAACATAAGTGTCCCTGTTTTCATAGTTAATTATTCGCCGAAGGCTAGTCTAACAACTTTGAATTGGTTTGTGGTACCAGCTCCATTTCATTGGCCATGCTTGCACTTCTGTAGATTTCATGATGCATCAACTGCAGTTCTGTAGAAACAGTTTAATATACCTGTAGCTAAAGGCCGAATTAAAATTGGGCTACCTAATCATTGAGCACAATTATAGCTTGAATATATAGCTAGAAAAAAGAAAAGCGTATAACAAAAATAGTGAATACCTGTAAGCTACGCGTTTTGTCATCGATTACATTAATTTCACCACTGGCACAGTCAAAAAAGTTTAAAACAGAGACTAGGTTTTTTGTCACATTAACTTAAATCCCACACTCCTTTTGCTCTGAAATGTTTTTAATGTCCTTCCAGCATATTATCCCAACAGCATATTCATTTATGTCCCATTGTTCACTTCATTCGCCTCCGTCATATCTCACCGATTACATGTTCAAAGCTCGCACCGTTCCCTCCCCTTTCACGTCCTTAATGCTCACCCCACTTGTAATACGTACCTCCATCACCCTCCCATGTATTCCTTTTCCTGCAAAGTTGCGATTCTGGGCATCAATTACACACGTTAATTGGACATTAAAACCGAATTTGACTGCGACCTTTTCAGACACTAAATAATACACGCATGTACGCATGCCCACGCGCGCGTACACGTACACGCGCGCACACACACACACACACACACACACACACACACACACACACACACACACACACACACACACAC